GCAGCTTTGCTGGCTCTGCTGTCAACGTCTCAAGCCCAAATACCCAAAGTCAACGGTTTCACCTTGGTGTGGTATGACGATTTCAGCGGCAAAGCCAACACAGTTCCAGACCAGAATAACTGGATTATCGACACTGGGACCAGTTATCCCGGCGGCCCAGCAAATTGGGGCACATCGGAAATCCAGTCATACACCAACAGCCCCAACAATATCCGAGTCAATGGCGCTGGGAATCTTCAGATCACCGCCATCAAGAACCCTTCCACGGGAGCATGGACTTCCGGGAGGATTGAGACTCGCAGAGCCAATTTCATGGCGCAGCCAGGGAAAACCATGCGGATCCAGGCTAGTCTGAAAATCCCTAATCTAGGAGCGAACGCTGGTATTGGCTACTGGCCCGCGTTCTGGACCCTGGGCGCTGAATATCGTAACAACTACTGGTAAGCTTTGCACCCCCGGCCTACCCTAGACCTTCAGTCTAACCCATCTTGTCTAGGAACTGGCCGGCAGTTGGTGAGATCGATATCATGGAAAATATCAACAATCTTGACCGCGCTTATGCCGTCTTGCACTGCGGCACCCAGCCTGGTGGCGCTTGCAATGAGCCATCTGGCCTCAGCGGGTATCGTTCTTGCCCTGGAAGTTCCTGTGCCGGGAACTTTCATACCTTTACCGTAGAGGTCGACAGATCAAAGTCTGTAGAAGCGCTTCGCTGGTATGTGGACGGCGTTCAGTTCCACCAGGTTCTTCAGTCACAAATGCCAGCAGCCACCTGGAAGGGGACTGTACAAAAGCCGCACTTCATTCTACTCAATATGGCCATTGGCGGATCTTTCCCCGATGCCATTTACGGAAAGAAGACACCTATCAGTACCACTTTGTCTGGCGGAACGTACGAGGTTGAATATGTTGCTGTTTATCACACTTGATTATGGTTGAAGCCTAGACTGCTCTACGATTTCCTCCAGGATTCTGCACTTATATCGGTTTTGTTTTACTTTAGAAATCAGGATACCACAAGAAATATTATTCCAGCGTTTTACGTCATCATTGCCAAATTATAATTTTGTCCTTCTCGAGCTCTTCCCTCGACCCTGACATGAATTCACAGTCGATGACTGTCCCTTCAGCGAATGAGCAATTACGGGGCAACCTGCTTCGCCAATTGAATACGGAGTTCTGTCTTCAATCACAATATCGATTTACGATATGGCAACTTCATCCATTTATCATGAGCAGTTATGGTGGTCTTGCAGCCGGCGTATTATTAGACAAGAGTCACAGCTTGCGTAGGCTCCTCTTCGTGGGAAAAAAAAAGTCCTGTCGGATGACAGATGCTGGGAGGAAGGAGAACTGGACATGAGAGCCACTCTACGGTATATGTCATGCTTTTTCCTCCATCCTAGCCCTCCGTACATCCTGCTGGCGCGATCATATAAGGAAAGCGACAAACACAAGGGCTTAGATAAGCCAGTATCTAAGGTAAGTGAACATATTCCAAGTTGAAATGTAAAAAGAAAGGTCATAAATGAATACGGTAGAAATCCGAACGGTCCACGTATCATCGCTTGTGATTTTACATGTACGCACCGTTGCCGCAATAACGTGTGCGACTCTGGCCATTGCAGGACGGTGTGAAGTGTGCCCACTAGCAAAGAACATACACTGTGGTGGAAAGCGTCGATCCAGGAACCGCGGCTGTTCTATGACGACATGCTCGAGCTTGCACTGTGACCACAGCTTGAAGTGTGACGAGTGACAACAGCTTCCTTCTGACAAAAGGTCCCTGCCTCGCCACCACTACCTTATCATACCTAGCCATGCACTTAAGTAAATGTAGGCCACGATCAAGAGCCATATATTATGTCTATGATAGTCGCATGAGGCCAGCCAGCAATTACTTTGTGCACAGCAATCTCTTCACTATGAAACGCACTGCGATAGCTGCAAACCTTTCCAGTGGAAGTCAAAATGTCAAGAAATCACGGCCGGCAGTACCCGATTATCATTTGACACCCTCGGTAAGGGATGATCATGGCGAAATTGTGTGGCCCGCGCCAGAGAGTAAGATGGAAGCGGCGAGATCCTTCATTCGCGAATGGTACGGTTGGGAAATCCGCGAGCTCAACTGCTGGACTCGAAAATGTGTCGCCTGGTGATTTCTCTCAGTCTCATACTGACACTCTACTAGTGTTTCTGCCGGAAAGCCCACATTGATTGTCCCGGACAAGGACGCCGACGGCCTCACTTCTGGGGTCATCTTGGAACGTACCCTAGTTCTTCTTGGCCTAGATCCATCTCTCATCACTGCGTACTTGCCCCCAAAAGGTCATAACATCCACGACGAAGCGTGCCGGGCAGAGATGACTTCTCTCAAGCCCACCTACATCTTCGTCCTAGACCAAGGCTCTCGTTCTTCGCCACCTCTCATCGACGGCTTCCATCACGGTATAGTTATTGATCATCATCACGCACTGACAAACGACCACCCAAAGGATGCGTTGCATGTCACAGCCTGCGACTCCCCTCCAGTGGCGACAAGCTCTCTACTCACGTACCTCATCTGTCGAAGTCTCCACAAGAGCGTGCGAGAAGCTTGCGACTGGCTTTGCGTCATGGGTACCCATGGAGACTTGGGAAATACCTTGAAGTGGGAGCCTCCGTTTCCCGACATGAAGTCTACGTTCAAAACATACACCAAAAAGGCTCTCAACGACGCCGTATCACTCATCAATGCCCCGAGACGAACAGCCTCGTACGACGTTCCTTCTGCTTGGAAAGCCCTCCGTGCCTCAAATTCTCCAAAAGAGCTGCTGAGCAACAAGTTCCTGCTGGCCGCCAGAGCAGAGGTTAACGCCGAAGTCGAGCGCTGCACCCACACGCCCCCCAAGTTTTCCGCCGACGGCCGCATCGCCGTCTTCCGCATCAGCTCAGAGGCCCAAGTCCACCCCGTCATCGCCACACGCTGGGCGGGACATCTATCCTCATCCAAGCTCGAGGTTGTGTTGGTTGCCAACGAAGGATATCTGCCCGATATGGTCAACTTTTCATGTCGTGTTCCGCGCTGTGCCCGAGCCAAGGAGCCGTCAGTCAACATCATTGAGGTTTTGCGGGATGTCGCTACTCGCGCCGAGGACACGACTTTGAGGGAGCGGCTAGGCGACTCATTTGCCAGGGGCCATAAGGAAGCTAGCGGCGGCATTGTTCCAAAAGCCGAGTTCGAGGAGTTGATGTCTGTCCTGGAGATTGGCAAGAAAGCTGAACGAGAATCCCCCAAAAAGGGGCAGAAGCCAGGACAGTCGAATACCTTATTGAACTATTTTGGAAAGAGTTAGATATGGTACAAAACTGGAGAACTTTCAGACTCCTCTGACCGATTTGTTTGTGTTCCGCAGAGCAGACCTTTGTCTCGCGATTCTCAAATTTCTGGACCGACTATACCCCGTACTGCCGCCTTCTGGGGTATCCTATTGTAAAAGCCCTTTTCGGATGATAGAACATAGTCTTCAGAGGCTTCCCAAGGTTTCTTGATGCCGGGATTGCGTGTACCTCTATGATGTGCCCGAGTGGCGGCCCCGTTGGCCCAAAAGATGCCCACGTCTCTCCAAACGACGCGGGAGCCAAGGTCGTAGGTACCGTCTGCCCATGGGCTAAATACATCGCAAACTGATTCGGTATGCCTTGTCTCAAATTCTGATGTTGAATGAGAAACAAGGCTGGCCTATTTGGAAATCCGTCGTCGCTTTCTGCTGGATGACATCGGTCTTTCCGTCCTGGAAGGATCAGTGTAACACAGCCGAGCTTCCACGCGCCCATGGCTGTTTTGGTCGCCGGTACAAGGATGAGGAAGTTTTGCTGTCTGACTTCATGTATTATTGGATTTCATATTCAATTGAATTTTCAATATCAAGAAAGCAGAATTATCAGCGACCTCCATTGACTTTATGGTGAAGTGAGTAGGCTGTTGATGTGTGTCGCTGAATCATGCCCGTCGGCCTTTACGCAAGTCATTCCGCTACTGAAGTCAGCAGGGCATCTTGTTCTGAATCACTATCATCATTATTTGAGCTCTGTATTTTGTTATGTGAGTTATATTTCTGCTCAAGCAAGGGATATCCAGCGCGTTGTGCATGGTTTCCAGCAATTTTTGTTCCCCCGAAATGGAGACAAGTTTTGCAAAGTCTGAATGTGAGTAGACAATTGAAACTGCCAGAGATGCGTCATAGTCTGTACTTCACATTCAATTTCTAGTCATCTCCAAATTACAAACGACGTTGGGTTAACCTTGGTCACATTTGATAGTTACACGGTTGTCGCAATCCATCAACCCCTTCCAGGCAACACTTGAGAAACCGAACTCTGCTCGCCTTCCAATGCTGAAGGTGCCCCACACGGGCCACCACCGGGGTGGATCCCTATCGCCGATCATGAGTGACGCTGCGGATCGCGCATCGGGATCGTCCGCAAGGATCACTCCACGTTCCCAGCTGTGTGTTCTGGGTTCACGGCCTGCGGGGGCCCACAGTTTCCGGATCGATGTACCCGGAGACCCTTCGCTGTGTTTCCGTTTCCAACTCCGGCGATGCCCCATTCAGCCTTACACTCATGCGCCTGGCTGTGCCCCGGCGATCAGGTCGGTTCCTGAGTCAAAGTTGCAGATTCTAAGAATCATACAGTTATCATCCATCGAGTCTATCATAACCTGGAAAATTTACTCGCCTTTGGACTATTGTAAACTGATTCGGTTTATTTACAACGGCTCACGAGCGCATTGTGAATCACCATGAACAGGGAGCCAGCTAGTGTACGCAACTCTTGGTCGCCGTGCGCTCAGCACGACGAGCGTTGTCAGATTCCGATCCCCGGGTATACCTATGCTCAATGATAATAATACAGTTACAAAAGCGTATGCTGAATGTCAACCAGCTCTGGGTCCTATTTGCGTCTTTGCGCCTGTTCCTGATATGTTCCTGTGTTTCTTCCTTTTTTTCTTTCTGTCTTTATGCAGTTGCTGTCTTCCTCGAAGTGAAGCGGTGGCTCCAATCCCGTATCCTTTTGGAGAAACTCCTCTTCATAGGCGCGGGTTCGGGCACCTTTTCGAGCCCGCCCAGATCGTCAGACTCGGCCGCATTGTCAGTGGTCACCGACTCGCCCCCAAGCTTTGTCTGGCGGCGCTGCATGAAGGCGGCTCCAGATGAGAATGTCCTCTTGGGCGCAACTGATGCGGGCTGAGTCGCGATTTGTTGCTGTACTAATGGTGGAGATGAGATCCGATTCATTTCCGTCGTTGACACCGGAAAGGTTGATGCACGACTCTGGCAGCTGCTGCCGCTAACAGTACGAGACTGTGCTGGTCTGGAGGTCCCCGGAACAGGAGACGCTGCAGACGATGCCCAGCCTTGGCCATGACGAAGGGATACCCATACGGAGGTTACGGTGATGAGAATTCGAGTCGCTTCATCGACAGGGTGAGTCTCTCGTTGTGTCGCGCCGTGGGATGCTGTTGGCAGCGATGGAGTTTCCTTGTCGCCGGTCAAATCCATGCTGAAGGGTCGTGTAGGAGGATAACGACCGGAGGATTGTGATACGGTGGTGTAATTATCCAAGATTTCGAGATTAGCCGGCGTCAAAGTTGCCATAACGGGGTGTCGACGAAGCTGTGGATCGAGGACGCTGAAAGTGAATTTGTACTCCGAAGCAGCGGGGGTCAGTGCCGCGGTGCATGTAGCCGTGGACAGAGGCCGGGCACTACGTCTGGCCCATCTCGCAACTGTCGTTTGGCCAGCTTCGTCAACGTGGACGAAATCGTACGACCCATTGTTTGTTTGAGTGGCAGTCCAAACTGAACCGTCCGCCAAAACAATTTCCGTCTGTTCGCCAGAATCCCTCCGCTCGCCTTCTTTCCGCGACGAGACCGGCGAGATAACGGCAACCAAGTCGCGCTTATCGAGATCTTTGTCATCCGAGTCAGAATCGTCAGCGTTATTGTCGTAGTCCTCACTCTTGGCCAAGATGAGGCCATTCATGCCCAGCTGTCCCTTGACCCTGAACATCTTGGGAAAGCGTCGTGCGAGACGGGGAAGGATCACTGTTCCAGCAATCATGCTCGAGGGGACGACATCAATGGCGGGCATGGGCCGCTTGTCGTTCGATAGTTGTTGTAGCTGCAGCAGAAGTCGCGGTCGGATGGACACGAAGCGTCGCTGTTTCGTACGAAGCTTTGGAGGAGGGTAGGCTAGCATGTAGTTGGTACATTGCCTTGCAGCTCGCCTTGATCTTTTGGATCTTTTCACAGTGCTTGTATCGCTAATCTCTGATACCAGACTGCCTTCGTCTTCGCTTACGCCATCGAGACCATGTGTTTCCTCGCCTACAACGGTAGGTTCTTCCTCGAAGCGTACGACGAGGTCCTTTCTTTGGACAAAGTCAGACACCGGTCGGATTCTGCGTACTGGGCGTGTAGCAGAGGCGGGCTCTTGTAATGAAAGGCGTCGGTTGATACGTTGTGTCGGCGTCTCGGTTTCATCGGTTGAGAATGACGATCGCTGAAGCGGCGATGCGCCTAGTGATGAACGTAGGAGAATATGCCTGCGCGCAGGCTGGTTGCCGCTGGCAGTGGTCTTGTTGGAGTATTCGTGCCCATGCAGGCTTGCGCCAGAATGGAGAAACATCGTGGTAGTCTGGAATTTAGTGATACGGTATTGATGAAATCATGGACGCGACCAGGGCGATATCCCACTCCAGTCAACGTACGATGTCGAAGGACGATTGCGTTCCAGTATTTCCCAAATGGAAATGCAGGCAGTAAAGCCGGCGTGGTTAAACCGACCGACAGGACGAGGGTTGGATCGTCTTATGCGAGGGGTATAAATCGGTCAAGCTCTCCACTTGCAGCTGGCCAAGGTGGGGTGGACGCTGATGCTGATGCTGGTAGCGGTGCAGTGCAGCTCGGGTCCTGGAAATTCCGTTCTAAGTGGTTCAATACCGCAAGGTGCGTTACACTGGTCTCGAAGTGTGCTTGACGTGGGATCGATCGTTACAGTGACTGGCAAGTCTTGTCGACACAGCGACGAGTATGGTTGATTGCGGCAGAGGCGTTGGGTGAGGCAGATGACAGGACAAAGAAGAGAGAGAAATAGGGGACGTCGATGCTGGAGAGCAGGCTGTGGGGGGGAATGAGCGGCCTACAAGTACATCATCTAGCGTCAGCCCAGAAACACCTTCTCTGATGAGGCTCAGAGAGCTATGCTGTATTTGGCGGGGGTGCAACACAGAAGGCTTTTGAATGGCTTGAGTGGCTTGACTCGTGAGCGGTCAGTGGCCCGGGGACCCAGTTGGCCTTGTATGTCCGTGGGCGCGGGATGGGCTGAGCTGAGGTGACGAGGGCAAAGAGAAAGGCAAGAGGCTTACAAAATGCTTGAAAAGTAGCGTTCGGTGTCCAAAGGGATCGTGTGATGGCGGGAATGATTCTTGGTTGACCCAGGGTGCGTATCCCGAGAAGGAGCAGCGGTGATGGAAACCCGCAAGTCTTCTTGTCTTGCAGAAGAGAGGGGAAATGGATGCGTAGTCAAGCTGGAGGAGCTGAGCTGAACAGGTCGGGATTCGTTTATCGCGTGACGTCTGACTTTCCGAAGTCAATGCAAACGTAAGTTCGGGTCGTCAAGAAAGAGGCTGTAAAGCAATGTCGTTTGTCTCTCGTGGAAATCGTGGAGCAGGTACGCAGAATATACCTGATTGAGCAAGAAGGAGACTGGAAAGGCTGGCGAGATATGCGGAAGGAGTTTGGCGAGAGGATCTGAGATGCAGGAGAGTGGTTGGCGAACGGACAAGGAGGAGCAGATGGCCACCAGGGTCCAGATGTATAGATGTAAGTTGAGGGAAAGACGGATGCAAAAGCAGGGGAGCCCGAGGCAAGGGTTGAAGAGAAGCTCGGGGAGGCAAGCTGAGGTATCCGAAGAGCAGGTTGAAAAAGACGGTAAGGTGTGTACCCCGTTCGTTTGTGCCGGAATGCGAAGTAGGTACTTTACTGGGTGTACAGTAGGTAGGTACTTGACAAAGGCGAGGCGAGGGTGTCAAGTGTTTTGGAGCCGATTTGCGAGGTGGGGAGATGGAGGGACGGAGCCGGAAAGGATGATATCAGGGGCTGACTTGATTTTGGCTTTCTCTCTCAGGTCTCCAGCGAGTGCGGGAAGCGCTGTGGAGGGGGAGGGTGAGTGCTGATGGAGTGGTGGGTGTTTACTGTGGGCGAGTGGGTGTGGGCGTGCGAGTGCCGTCTTTTGTGGTCGCCGAGGGGAAGAGAGGGGAGTCCCTGTCTTTCTTTGGGAGAACGCGATGGCAGACGCAGCGGGAACCTGGACTTGCAGTTGGAATGGTCGCCGTTTGGTGTGGTGTTTTCTTCTTCTTCTTCTTCTTTTTTTTTTTTTTTGGTTCGGCGGACTGCGTAAAGTATCCGTTCACAGGAGAGTCCGGGTACGTACACACTACCAGGTGCGAGGGTCGATGTTAGAGGAGAGGAGAGAAAGGATGTGTGTTGCCTCTGGGGCAACAACAGGGCGAACCGGCCTGCCGTCGGAGAAGAGAAGAAGGACGAGAGGGACGGGGGAATAGAAAGTTGCGAGGTTGGGCGCGCCGAGAGAGGAACGGAGATGGCAAATGTGCGAGAGAGAGAGAGAGAAAGAGAGAAGCGGAAGAGAAAAAGAAGATCCGACGGGAGCAGAAGAAGAAGACAAAGTTGAAGAGGGGACTTGGAGTGGATGCAATGGGTACGTATTGTTGGGTGGAAATACAGCGGCGGAGATATGTACCGACCACGTACCTTTTCTTCGGTTTGCAATTCGATTCTCAGGAGGAAGTGACGATGTCCAAATGAACCGGGCTGCCCAGAAGGAGCGTAAGCAGGGGGGGAAGGGGGGAAGGAACCTTAAGGCGCCCAATCAAAGTATGAGCCAGGAGCGGTGCAACCCTAACCCTAACCCTAACCCTAACCCTAACCCTAACCCTAACCCTAACCCTAACCCTAATATTAGGTCCTCTTTTTTTAAACTTAAGGAGTTACTCCCTTGTACTAGCTAGGAGTCTTTATTTAATTCGTCCTTCGAGGAGGCGAAGTATATTTTTTATAATAGGGTCTATTTTAACTTTCTCCTTTATATTCTTATAAATTTAAGAGAGTATTATAATATATTCGATATTATTTTTTTTAAGAGTATAGGGTTAGTAGGCGGGTATTTCTTTTTTTTTTATTATTACCGCTAGGGTCCTAATAGATAATATAGTATTATATCTAGATCGTCCTATATTCTTAGGTTATTTTGGGTACTATCCTATTTATTCCTTACTATCTTAGTAAGTAAGATAGTTATTATCGTAGTAGGCTATCTACGAGAGTTACTTATAGGGGGCTTTTTTACTTATAATATTAGCTCGTTTTTTTAAAATAGGTTAGTATTAGATACGCTTAGGTTATTAGTAATCTCTAGCTATATATCCTAGCTTATTATAGTTATAGTATTTAAAGTCCTTTTTTTATTACGGTTCTTTACGCTTCGTAATATTAAGATCTATAGGTCTATCGTATTATTTATAAAACGTGCTCTATTATTATTAGTTTCTTAAGTTATTTTAGTAATTATTTAGTAATTTACCGTAGCTCTAGTATCTTCTATTAGAATTAGCTTAAAGGCGTCGTACCTCTCCCTTTTTTTTACGTCGTTTATATAATTAAGTATTAATCTTAATAATAAGCTCGACGTACTATAGGAATTCTATTAGTATTTCTATTTTGCTAAGTTCGTCCTTAATTTTATCTTTTAGTCCTTAATAGAACGAAAAGATACGGGTTTCCTTAGTAAAATTAAGTTATACTATAAGCCTCCTAAACTTAGTAGCGTAGTACGAAGCGGACTTAGTTTATTAAAGATTAGCTAGGTCTCTCTTAGCTTATCGCTTTTTATTAGGGTCTTAGAATAGGGATTCGAGGGCGCTCTAGAATCCTATTATATTATTAAAAATATTCGTAGTTTCCTTTTTATAATAAGGTAAATAACCGTTATTACTAAGGAATTCTTTTTAAAAGGGTTCGAACTACTCTAGGGCTCGTCCTCTAAAGAAGGTTACTATATAAATAACTCGTTCGGTCTTATTATAGAAGTTAGTAGTATAGAACGTTTAGTAGGTTCTAATTTAAATTAAGAATCCTTTAAGACGTTTAGTAGTTTTATTAAAAGTAGTAGGTATATTAAGCTTAAGTTTTTTTTACCCGTCCGTAGGAGTCTTAATAATACTAATAGCGGCCCGGAGGGTTCTAACTTTTTGTTCTAAGTCGTTTACTTCTTTTTTCTTAATTCCTAAGTTAGTTATAGCTTCGTTAACTATATTTTAGAGAGTAGCGATATTTTTATTATTTTTAGTTAGAGTTATAGCTATTTAAGTAGAGTTATTATTAAAGAGCTCCGCGAGTTCTTTATTCTACTTATTATTTTTTTTAACGGTACGTTACATTTTTTTATAATCTACCTTTTTAAGAACCGTATTATTATTAAAGTCGTAGGTAATATTAAGTATCTTATTATCCTCGACCCTAGCTAGCTTACTAGCTAAGTCGATAGGTTACTTAGAGTTAGATAAAGGGGTGCTTAGGGTTTTAGAAAATATCGTTATTCGTTTTATTACTTAATAAGTCTCGTAGTATTAACTTACTAAATAGGAGTAATTAAAGTATTATAGCTAGCTAGTCGTAGTAAGTATATTAGTAAAAGTTAAGGCTACGAGTACTAAGTAAATAGTATCGTAGTTATAAATAGCTTCCCTAAAACTATATTTATAAGTTATAAGGTAGGTAAGGCTTTAGTAATTAATTATAGTCTTATTAGAAGGGGTTCTTAATAAAAATAGCTAAAAGCGATCGTAAGATCTAATACTAAGTTAATTATTAAAGAAGCTATAGGAAGTTTATCCTTAAGCCCGGCTTAAGTTTATGCTATATATAAGTTCGATTATAAATATATCCTTTATTAGTAATTACTTTTATTTATTAGGTAATCGCTTAGTAAATACTAGTGAGCGCTTACTTAGGGTAATTATAGTAATTACCTTATTACGTAATTACCGTTTCTTATCTATACGTAACTTATTTATAGTTCTTCTATTCTATAGGAGTTACCCTATGTTCCTATATTTTTATATATATAGTATGCTATAGCCGCCGCAAGCCTGCGGGGCGGGCCCTAGTCTTAGTTATATATATTAGGTCGTAATAAAAGTAGCGATATTTTCGTTATTTTTAATTAAAGTTACGGCTATTTAAATAAAATTATTATTAAAAAGCTCTGCGAGTTCTTTATTCCGCTTATTACTTTTTTTAATAGTATATTATATTTTTTTATAATTTACTTTTTTAAGAACCGTATTATTATTAGAGTTATAAATAATATTAAGTATTTTATTATCCTCGACCCTAGCTAGCTCGCTAGCTAAGTTGATAGGTTATTTAAAGTTAGATAAAGGGGTACTTAGGGTCTTAAAAAATATCGTCGTTCGTTTTATTACTTAGTAAGTCTCGTAAGGTTAACTTATTAAATAAGAGTAATTAAAATATTATAGCTAGTTTATTATAGTAAATATATTAATAAAAGTTAAGGCTATAAGTACTAAATAAATAGTATCGTAGTCGTAAATAGCTTCCCTAAAGCTATATTTATAAGTTATAAAATAGGTAAGGCTTTAGTAATTAATTATAATCTTATTAAAAGGGGTTCTTAATAAAAATAGCTAAAAGCGATTATAAGATTTAATATTAAGTTAATTACTAAAGAAGTTATAAGAAGTCTATCCTTAAACCTAGCTTAAGTTTATATTATATATAAGTCTCGTTCTTAAATATATCTTTTATAATATTCCTATTTACTATTATTTAACTATTTACTAAACGGTCGTCCGTCCTATTTATTTACGATCGTCCGTCCTACTTATTTATAGGTATCCGTTCCTTATCTTATTATATAATCGTAGTTATATAACTTATTTATAGTTCTTTTATCCCAAGAGGAGTTACCCTAAGTTCGTATTTCTATATATATAATATAGTAGCCGCTATAAGTCCCGTGGGGCGGGGCCCTAGCTTTATTATACGTATTAGGTCGTAATAGTATATTAATAAAAGTTAAAGCTACGAGTACTAAGTAAATAGTATTATAATTATAAATAGCTTTCTTAAAGCTATATTTATAAGTTAAAAAGGTAAGTAAGGCTTTAGTAATTAATTATAATCTTATTAAAAAAAGTTCTTAGTAAAAATAGTTAAAAGTAATCGTAAGATTTAATATTAAGTTAATTATTAAAGAAGCTATAGGAAGTCTATCCTTAAGCCCGGCTTAAGTCTATACTATATATAAGTCTTGTTTTTAAATATATCTTTTATTTATATATTATTTTAACGGGCCCTATATTTTAAATATACGGACCCCGTATAAAAAAAGAACGGGGTCTGTATCCTTAGTATACGGACCTTTTTATCTCTTATTATTACGTAACTTATCTTATAGTTCTTTTATTTTATAGGAATTACTCTATGTTCCGTATTTTTATATATATAGTATACCGTAGCTATTATAAGCCTGCGGGGTGGGCCCTAGTCTTAGTTATATATATTAGGTTATAATACTTACCCCCGCTATGAAATTTCTACCCTCGAAAACTTAAATATAATCGCTTTAGAAAAGTTAAATATGTTTATAAAAAACAGCGACGGACCAATCAGGCGAATCATCGCCTCGTATGCTCTCTTTTATAGCGTCAAAAGGGTGGCCTCAAGTAGCTCTCTTTTGTTTAACTTCTTAGGATCTTACGTTTGGAGCACGGTATCCCTCTAAGTAACGTAGTGGAGATGAGACGCCTCCAGTCAGACATTCAAATTGGGCGTGACATCTGCCAGCCGTGTCCCGACTGGGAGCTGGATTGATAGGCGCTTCTTTGTGTGCTGCTTATTAGAGCTCGACCTTGTTGCTTATACCTGCCTCGATCTACGGCCAATTATTCCCATTCGACAAACCGAACGCCGATGGCACTAGCCACTGATGTTGATTTAATGCAATACTACTGAGGTCCATTGGTCAAAAGGTGATTGTTGTACTTGATTTGGGGATTTTCTTCCATCTCGGTCCGAACGGAGTTCTTTCTTACATCTCCCCATCATCTAACAAATCCTGGCCTGTATATGTAGTTACCAAAGTAGTGATTGTAAGCGGTCAAATTTCATAAGCGAGGGCATTCCTGGTTCTGTCACAACCGTTCCCTACGAGACATCTCGATGCCCGCAGTGCGACTATACGATAGAAGCATATGCGGAATGATAAGCGGTTTGATTGGTCCGTCGTTTCTCTTTCTGCAAACATCGTTGCGCTCCTAAGATACAACCCAACAAAGCGACTAAGTCATTGCCTTCCAAACCTTAGGGAGACCAAAGCCGTACCAGGGCAAGGGCCTACGCACTCCCTTGGATAGCGAAAATGCTAATACTGAAGCCGAAAACTGTCCCAAACAGACTTAGATATCTACCTGAAGGTTGTCTACGAGGGATTCAGCATAACGCTAACGATTCGCTAGCAAGGCTCATTAAAGCAAAGGTGTGGGTGCGAGAGTTACCGAAGAGGCGCTGAGACCTCGGCATTTCATTTTGAACAATTTATTATCCTCATCACGCCCTACAGATTATTACCTGTTCCCCTCGTTGACCGATTCCCAGCTCAAGGCCCTATCAGTCATCAATCAGATCGCAGCGATGGCCGACACCGAGACAGACATCCGAGAGTCCCAAACGTTAGCTAAAGCGACCAAAATGTTCACCAAGCTCTCAGATCAGGTTTATCTCTTCCCTGCGCCAGAGCGAAGTCTTGGCGGAAAAACCGATGAGCAACATGGACCAGACCTAATACTTGTTTATGGCTGGGGCGACGGCCGTCTCAAGCACGTAGCGAAATTTGCCGATGGCTTTCGGGTCCTGTTTCCGAGATCTGAGATCATAGTCGTTCTCGCACCAATGTTCAAAGCATTACTTTCAAGCCAGAAACAGCGGATTAGCTGCGTACAGCCAATTGTCCACGCGGCATTGCGGCTCAATTCTGAAGGTCATCCGCCGGCGAATGACCCATCTATTCTAGTCCATGTGCTTTCAAACACGGGATGCCTGTACTTCACGGCCACACTTGAAGCATACAAAAACGCCTTCGGTCATGTAATGCCACATTCTTTGCTGGTCATGGATTCCGCGCCTGGATCTGTGGACCACGACATCAATAATATCGGGAAATTAGCGAATGCGATGGCCATTGATGCCGGGGCCAAAGTTCCGTTACCTCTACAAGTCACCAAAGTCATGTGCATCATGACTCTCTATTTCGTACGCGCGATAGAGCTGGCTCATTCACGCGAGAACCTACTTCTTGTCTCCATCAAAATGGCAAACGACGAGGCGTTTGAAACGAAACTCGCACAACGTCTGTATATATACTCTAAAGAGGACCGACTTACTGCGTGGGAGGCTGTAGAGAAGCACGCGAACGAGGCAAAGGCACTCGGCTACAGGGTCAACAGTAGCTTGTGTGAGGGGAGTGGGCACGTTGGGCACATGCGAAAGTGGCCTGGGAAATATTGGACCATGATCAGGAAGGGCTGGCAGGACGCGGTTGGGGCTTTGGCAGTAAAAGCTCGTCTATAACATTCGGGCGCGCAATTTGGAATAAATATCACCCAATAGACATCCTTCTTCCATCGACAAACATCCAGCTACCATTAGTAGACCCTATTATCAAAAGTTTGGTTGTAAGAATGAGTTGGTATTGAGATGGGAGTAAGTTAGATACAAGAAGACGAAACTGAGAAAGGAGAATGGGTGAGTCAACAACCTTCAGTAATGGCCATCACGCAGCAAGTTACAACCCCCCCACACCCCCTCTACCCCTCCCTTTCTTCTGTCAACGAAGCCTCTCAGCAGATGAAATATTCAAGAAACTATTGCTAGATTTCCTGTGGTTCTTACGTACTGAATACAAATTTCCTCCTCGGGCTCACATTAGCTTTGTATTCACAACGGTTGGCAGCACTCAAGGACTCTCGTCAACTTAATTATCTTCATTTCTCAACTCTGGTAAACACATCAGCCCCACACAGCTCCGAGGGAACCTCACGCCTTCCGGCTTAGTGGATTATAGACTTCCTCCCAATTGTGACTGTGTACTTCAAAAAGATTCCCTCCTCCTCTGACGAGGTTCTGAGACACTCCTCGGTTAGCTCAGAAATTTGGTCATCAGAATAACGACCGCTCTTGCTCAAAATCCGCCGGATCAACTCAGGGAATGTTTTGGGCACGGCGCTCTGCACGTAGCGACCAACAGCCATACTTGAGGCCGACTTTTCCGATGGAACCATTGAAAATTCGTAGCAACGTGTGCTGAGTACTTCAAAACCCGCACCCTCCATGCGTTCCACCAGGTGATCCGCAGCGCAAATATCCAACCCTACGATGGCTGACTCCTCCAACACTGCGCGATGCCATGCCCAGTTATCACTCAACTTTGTAAATGTTCCCTGTCGATAGTATTCCCATGAACAGTCTTGATGCTCAACAATTCCTCCAGGTTTAAGCAAATCATTCACTCGTTTGAAGTAACCGGGCCAGTCGTCAATGGCCAGGAACAGCATGCGCCCAAAAACGTAGTCAAAGCTCCCATTGGATAGCCCACGCTTATCTTCACCATCCAAGAAATTACCTTGAATGAAAGTGACATTCTTTGGTGCTGCGGCTTTAGTTGGTTCCGGGACCGAAGACAGATCGATGCCGTAAACTTGTTCGGAGAGCGGAACCTGTTTCGCAAGTTGGAGAGTCGCGACACCTGTACCACAGCCTACATCGAGCATCTTGGGGGAGCTCGGGAGGAGTCGTAGGTCAAAAAGGAAAGGTCTTCCCCCAATCATTTCCTCGATAGCAGACGCCTGCTTGTCAAGTCGAGACTGTTCTTGGGCGCTGTGACTTTTAACGTCCGCATAGAAGTGAAACGGTCGATGCAGGGCGGGTGCAGAGCGGATGTAGAGCGAGTGCAGAACTTACTCATTTGGTAGCACGTACGGAGAAGATGCGTTGTGATAAGTACGAGCTGGGTAGGTCGTGTGAGTCGCCATGATGACTGAGTGATGGTCCGAGGTGGCTATCGAATAGTATTGATGAAGGTATTTTACCTGCGGAGAACGTGGGATTCCAAGAGGGTTATAATTCACTAGTGGGTGATATTATGCTCGAGGCTGTAATTTCCCTTGTTCTGGACCTGGAGCCTTTTAATGTTTGTGACTTCTAGGCCGCCAAATACTCATCGATACCCGTAGCAAAATCTCCTTGTCTTGTCATGCCTAGCCGCAGCAAACGTTGTTTGTTCTAAGATTGGTCAGAGATCAATTTCCGTTCGTGGTAGAAGAGGTTGCTTTTAGCAAACCTTCCGCTCGTCTAGCGATCTCCTTTTGCGCCAGACTAACTAATTGCAGTATAATATGTCGCGACTAGACAAGACGGTATATCGACGGAAGCAAAGTTGTTATTGATTGCCGAAGCTAAACATGTGGCTCAAGGAAATAACGAGGCTAATGAGAGGTTCCAAGGGAGTTGAAAGGAAAAATGGTTGACTGGTATGGTCAGTCAAAATGTGGTAGGAGACAAATGCTGACAAGCTCCGAGCCGAACTTAGAAAGCTCTACTTACTGTAAGCAGCTCGGCAAGACTTAGAGTAACACATACCCTCAGCGACTTTGGCTCAATGCAGTCTGAATTATGACGAGGACTTTCCCAAGAACGTGAAAATCCCTCGTATGAGGCCGCATCTCGATTGTCCCTCATAATTTCCAACTTTGCTACTCCTCGCTGATGTCTGCTCTCATCCGTACGCGGTGCTCTTCTCGGCGCTATCCAACGCAGTGACAATGTTGCTAAACTGAACGAAGTGGTTGTTAGAATAGTGCTGCTCTTAACTCTCTCGTTGGCGGTCTGCTTCCGGTCTGCTACCCGTGTCCCTTATGAAGTCCGACTGGAACCCTTTTTGCCTCTTCCCCTAAATCGGACACCTGAGAAAACTCCACCCTTTTCCCCATTCCTTTTAGTAGAAGATTATGTTAGTATCCGTATCACAGGGTGTTTTATGTAACAATATATGAGTTGGTTATTAGAATACTAGATGACTGATAAATAAAACCCGACGTAGTCGAGATTAAGCGAAAGACACGACAACCCTACCCGGCGTAGAATCAATCAGAGTTAAAGTTGCGGTCACAACCTTATTACTCAGAAAGCTAGAACCACCGCCACCTCCGGCTGGTGTACGCTGAACTGTTAAGTTATATCTGTAGTAGCCTGTCGCTCCGCTACCTCCGCCGCGGTAGCCTCCGCCACCCGCACCAGAACCATCGTTAAAGTCACCACCCGCGCCAGCGATACCGTTTCCACCAATTGAACCGCTTCCAGCGTTCCCATTCGCAAAGGTCCCCAAGCCGGTCCACACACCGCCAGCCCCGGGTGCGATCTGAGAGCCCGGAGAGCCTCCGTTGGAGGTGGACGTCACAGCACCAGTACCTGCTAGTGTAATATTGGCAGAGACACCCTTGTCCCCGGCATTGTTTGTTCCGCCAGCGAATTTGGAGTCCAACTGGGAAGCCCCGCCGTCAAGGTTGGAGGATAGGATAGTGCTGCCTCCGCCTCCGCCAGCGACCACAAGGAGATCCTGGCCGAGATAAAGAGCGGAAGCACCACCACCTCCACCACCGTTATTGGAAGCAGATCCACCGTTGCCGTACTGACTGAGACCAGCCCCTCCGACAGCACCTCTCGTACCTTGGCCACCTTGACCACCGGCGACTAAAGAAACTGATTGACCTGGGGTGACGGGTATGGAGCCGCTGATTGATGCACCTTTGCCGCCTGTGAGACCGCCTCCACCGCCGCCGCCGCCACCACCCGTAACAATGAATCGCATAACAGTAGCGCAAGTCGGGACAGTGACTGCGCCTATCGCACCTGAAGGACTGCCTGCGGAGACTGTGCTCGTCAGGGAGACTACACACGAGATTGTGGATGTTGTCGAAGTGGAAGTGTCAGTTTTCGTAGAGACAAGGGTGGTGGAAGAAGTCGATGATGCAGACGAAGTTGTAGTGCTTGGTGTCACTAAAGTGATGAAGCTGGTGGTTCCAGCAAGATCTGTTGGCATGATTGTAGAAGCTCCCGTCTGAGTGCCGGTCGACGTCACAGTCGTCAGAGCACCCGTGACGGGAGGCACGATTGACAGGACAGTGGTCGTGCCGAAGGGGTCGGCCCGGGGCGAGGTCGTCACGCCCGTTTGTGTGCCGATTGAGACGACAGTTGTTAGCGTGCCCTTGACCGGAGGCACGAAGGTAATGACGCTTGTGGTCCCAGCAGGTTCCGTGGGAACAATAGTAGTGACTCCAGTCTGTGTGGCTGTCGAATTAAGCGTGGTGATGAAACCTAAACGCGGAACAAATGTGATGACCGTAGTAGGGCCACCACCGGGTCCTGGCGGAACAGTGGTCAAACCGGTCGTGCTAGCTGTCCAAGTGATCACAGTCACTTGTGATTGTGGCGGAGGGCCAGTCACTGAAATACCGGGTAGCGAGTTGCTGGATGGTGGCGATATGGTCGAAGACGATGTAGGAATGGGGTTGATTGTTGTAAGAATGCCTGTCACTAAAGTAACTACAGTTGATGGTCCTTCTGGGCTTCCAGCAATCGTAGTCAATCCGTTGGTGCTGCCCATGGACGGCGAGCCAGTCGCAATCGTGACAATCGTAGTCGGGCCTTCTAGTCTACTAGGAGTCTGAGTGATCAGGCCGGTTGAGACTCCTGTCGATGTGACGGTTACAAACGAAACGCCGGCGACGGAAGTGAGATCTATTGTCGGATCTCCGGCTATTCCAGGGGACAAGGTTGTCAGACTGGTAGTGATATTGCCACGACCGATGGGTGTTGGGACGATGATAATGACTGTAGTCGGATCTCCGGGACGACCAGGAGTGCGAATAAGGAGGCCTGTACTCGTACCGGTCGACGTAACAGTCGTGAATCCTCCCGGAGGGGGCACGATAGTGACTACAGTATCCGGATCGCCGGGTCGGCTTGTCGTTAAGGTCGACAGACCCGTCTGGCCGAGCTGAGTTCCAGTTGATGTAGCGGCCACCGAGCCTCCCGTTCGCGGCGGCACGAAGACGATCAGGGTGCCAATGCCATCAGTCTCGGAGGGCGGCAAAGTCAGGGTCGACGAAAACGTCCCGGGAGCTGTGATCGTCGTGTAGGGTCCTTTAAAAGGAAGCCTTCTTGTCTTTGGCGTAGGCGTGAGGATAAGGGCCGTTCCGGTGCGGTCGCTGCCACCTGGGGAGACGGTCAAAGTCGTCAAGGTTGACCCTGGATGGGGGGCTCTGGCTGTTGTGAAGCTTCCACTATTCTGAGAGTTCGACCCTGGTAGCCAAGTCTTACTGGACTCGAGAGGAGAGCAGACGTACTTTGTACCAGTGGCTTGGCCACTTTGCGGAGGGATAATAATAGTTGTTGGCTGAGATCCCGCAAGAATATTCGCAGTGACCGTAATACAGGGCCCGTTGTAAGGGGACTCGGTATTGCTGAATGACAAAGCATCAGCACCATTCTGATTACAGAAGGGGATAACCATTGGTATTAGATTTTGATTAGACCACTTACACAGCAGAGCTGTACGTTACAGTAGTCGCGGTAAGGAAGTTAGACTCGACCACAGTCGGAGCATTGGTGACCTCGAAAGTTGTACCAGCCACTTTGAAGACCGTCGTTGAAGTAAGAGAAGTGCTGAGATAGAGCGGGATATAGTGAACGATTTCGATGGGCTGAATAGTGGTTGGAACAGCCTCTGGTCCAGTGGTGGGACAACCCACGCTTGCCAGTCCAGGCCATGGGAGACTGGACATAGTGCTTAAGATTGTAGTCAGAAGCGAAGTGCGCCTCATCTTGGTGTTGCTTGGTTCTTCGGGGGACGAAGCTGGGTGCGTTGAAAGATGCGTAGCTCCGAGATCTAAGATGAGACTTGGGAATGGAAGGCCGGTAAGATGTGAGGGTTCTAAGGATTGGTTTTGTGGGAATTCGAGCCCTTGTTCGTATCCGAAGTCCTGAGGAATGTCCGCTTACAGGTTTGGAATGGTTACACGGCGTCATGGGCATTCGAACACAAACGCGGCTTCTCCTCGATTCCTTACTCGGCTTGCTGAGTCGTCGGTAGCTCTCACTATCGACACCATGCAGATCCATGATCAACTCCGAAGCAGCAGATCTGTTCAATGGATGAGCTAAAAATTGTGTTTTCTCCGCCACTATGGCGCGACAAAATCTGGTCTAAGATCCAAAGTTCCTTCTTGTCAGTCTATTACTACAGTTGCACCCCGCGCCGAGACTTTTTCATGTTGAGTGCTTACCGCTCATGAATGTTTCACAAAAGCAGCCGGTGGGGGGATTCCATCTAAGTGGATATGCGACGACATCACGGCGGCAAGTCAGTGTCCTGAAGTGCTAGGGTAATAGTGATGGATAATGGATGAAAAAGACAAAAGTTTGGGTCTCTTTAGGCTGTTCACCAAGCATTTACACCGCTATACCAAAATCGATACTTCAATGATCTGAAGTCTGTTTGAATCCAAACTTCTGTTTGCATCCTCTTTCAGCTAAGATTGAATCAGTCAACCTTACCAAAGTCTTGAAGAAGGAGAGCTAGATCAAGATGACCGCTGCTTGAGGCTGCCCTCTCGGCATGTTCTATCAGTCCTATCAGTAGTCAGGTCCCAAGGCAGAAAACAAGCATATGCGAGGTGATGACCCGCTCGACTGATCCGTCGCTTCTCTTTCTGCAAACATGCTCGCCCTCATGACAGAGCCATTACATCCAAGCCCCCGAGGATATCAAAAATCATACCGGGGTAAAGGTTGCTGATTCCCAAAAGCAGGCCTGCTGACTCCCGAAGACAGCGGGGATGATAATACTGAAGCCGAAACCCGTCCCTGAAAGGCCCATTTCTTCACCTGAACATTGCCTGCATGTGGTTCAGCACAACGCTAAGAAGATCTAGGCAGAATAAGCTAGGCCGATCAGGGGCCGGGCGCCGTTCTTCTTGACTTGACTTGACTGCAAGAGTGATTCAGGCCATTCGCTTGCGCATACCCCAAATTCCTACAAAAAGTTAGTAAATATAAGATAATCTTCAGTTCATAATAATAGTTTCATGCGCTCCACTCTCAGAAAGTCCCTCTCTAGAGTAACATCAGGAATCATGATCGCCTCCAACTAACCTTTTGGCGCTATCACGTCCCACCCGCAACTTGCCCCTTACATGAAGAGGACCTCTTTCTTGCTGCGTCTGCCTTTCGCACTTGCTGTGACGCCTCACGTCCATCCATATCTAAAGATGTGCGATGTATCCATCGCATTCTCCGCCATAAAAAAGACTGTTCTGCTACCACAGCAGACGATTTTTCTTTTCTGGAAAACTCCAGGCCGGACTGTGCCATCCCTAACGCTGGTGCGGGGGGACATTGTCCCGCAGCCCCGCAGGTCATGAAGAGCCAGGCTCTAGGAAGCAGTCCTCCCATTAAGCAACCGTCTGATGGCACTGCATCCAGTGGGTCCAATGGCAATTTGCTGGACATAGCAATATCTTCCTCGGCGGGCTCTGATAAGCCTACTTTCGTATCGACATTATCCATGCATCGGGTGATTGGGTTTAAATAGAATGGCATCTGTATCATGGGAAGCACGGGAGCAGTCGTGCTATCTCTGGGTCTGATCAATCCGAAGTCTATTCATCCTAATTCAAGGTGGTTGGCTCTGCGGCAGTATGCCACGGTGGCGGAGCACCTCATCGTCTCAAAACACCGTCGGGTCTTTTGACCAATTGAAAAGACTTGCTGGGGGGATTCCGCGAGCTTCCTCGCCCCTTCCCTCCCTCAGCAGTATATGTCTCAGATGGTCCTTTTTTTTAACAATCTCTTGGTTCCGCGAACTAACTATAAATTTGGAATAGCCGCCGTAAGCAGGCAGAGGTGATCTAGACGGGGATGCTTTCTTCATTCAGTCGTCAATCCATTACGTGTCACATTTTCATGGCAGTCATTATGAGACATCACTCCCTCACACCGGCTTAGACATATGGCGGCCTGGAGTTGAAACATTGCCATCAAAAGCAGAGTGCCCTGTATTGACCCTTGTCCGGAACGGGACTGGCTTACATCCGTATCTGCTCCACCCCTGCGCCGGTCCTCCGAGTTCAGGCATGTTGAGGGGACGACGACCGCAGGCGGCGGGCATTGAGCGCGCTCTGCCATGACTTGACAGTCCATCTATCTCCTCCACTCCCCCATTGTTGGTCAGTTTTGTCGCTTCGGTCCATCTCCCGCGGTCCACACCTCTTCCCAGATCCGTTTCTCTGCTCCATCCCTTCAGTGTTTCGTGCCAGCAAAAGCGTGCAACCACCTGCCCTCGGTCTGTCATGGACGTAAGATGTTGTCCGGCAAACTATGCCAGGACCCGTCTTGAGGTGTTTCTGTACCTATTCCGGGCCCGATCGAGAAGCTGTGCGGGCGTGCGTTCAAAGAGTAGCCGTAGAAAAAGTGCCGTTTACCTACCCTTGCGAATACAGGCATCGATAAAGTCAACATTCTCCACATTAACGTTGAATCATGCTCTGCCACCATCTCTAGGCTGCCGTCAACTCCAAACTAACACTCGCTTCCCCGCAGCGACCGGCCACGACTTTCATCCGAACCCCCACTCTTCCATATATGAACCACGACTTCTTTTACAACGAGCCGCAATGGACCATTGACAACAGCCCAAAGCCAGAGTTTCTACTTCAAATTGTCGTATCCTGTCCCCTGGACCTCCATGCTCTGAAGAATCGAAGTAGGCACATTAGCCCGATTTTCGCAGCCGGTTGCAACGTGTGGGAATGAGTGATGTGGTGGGCAGACCAGACAGGGGTTGACTAGTTACGCCCTACATCTTTCGATCGAACAAACGACAAGCGGCCGTCACTGGCCTGTTGATAAGCCCATAGTTGAAGGTGATGCGTAAGTCAGATCCTTCATACTTGAACAGATTATGACGAGCTTAATGCTGGGTTTTGGTAAACGCGCACGAGCGATTGGAAAACGCCGATAGACGACCTTAGCCAACCAGGCCAACCACCCTGGTCGTATGAGTCGGACGAAAATATGGTAACGGAGGGAGGGTTGCATGGGACTTATCCTAGCGATGCGAATACGCGATACCAGTAGACTTCTCCAGTTATCTGATTGCGCGGCCCAGGCTTCTATGACACCCGCGGAATCAACGCGAAAGGTAGCGAGGGCTCGATGCGCATGTTGACATGTCTCTCGACGTGTCGGACATTCAACTGGCAAGGGAGAAAAGCTTTATTACGGGTAGTCTTTCGTATTGCATTGTCGCCTCTTTTGCAAGTGTATATTTCACGTACACTGAAAAATTCTCGACAATAGTGAGAGAACGTGCCAGAGTCCGCGTTGGCTAAGATAGTCTACTACTAGAGTCGGTTCCACAGGGTGTCGCCCCAGATTCGCTTGAAAATGCCATCGCAAATATTTAGTTTCGGACCAGTGAATGAGTGACACAGACATTATGCAGTATGCAGGTTGTCACTTGTTCGAAAACCGAACTTCGATTTGTGTAACCTAGGACCTGAGTCCGTAGGGTTTTGTGACTTGAGGTACAACCTCTTCTTGACACACCCACCCATCTTGCCTGTTGTGAACCGTGCGATGAGTACTACAACATGACAAACTCGGTGACATGCCAACCGGTCATATGGAGAAAAATGATATTATTGCCGATCTCGACTAGATGACGAGCTTGCCCATGCAGGACAGAGTACATTCGATTCTCAGCCGCCCGGTGAAGACCAGCTGCATAATTGATCTCGCCTCGTGTATCCGGATGCGGCAAACGTGTCGCGGGGATAAGGATCTCTAAGAATGCCCAGAGAGTCGTTGGCCTTATCTTCTCGGCAGGGAACACGGTAAAGGCATGTCTGTGGCTATTCTCAGTCTACCCGAGATGAAATGCCTAGCTCAGAATGTTGCCCCCATCTTGGTACGGTCTGTACCGCTCTCACGAGGATAATGGCACTAAGGGGGATTCATCGCGAGCTTGCTTACTCGTGCGCCAACCCCTCACGTCAGGACTTGGCATTGTGCTTCCCGTCGAATTCTAAGTCGCAGCTGCCATTCTTAACAGAAGCAAGCACTGTTGAAACCATTCCCACGAGACGTGCTCATGGAAACCTGTGTGAACGCGAGCTGCTTGACCAATGCTTCACTATGACTAATGCTTCACTAGAGGTATAAATCAGGCTAGCGAGAGGATCCTGATATAAGGGGATCATCCGCTCATTATTAAAATTCTTTCAATGACCATTCATTCATTCATCATAGTCGTCAATACACATCCAATGACCCCTGCCTGCCTAACTACTGCTCAATATGTATCTAGGTTCGCTCTAGGAGCAATAAATGCATTCGAAGGTCTAGACTGATTCGTTGGTCGGCTGATTGGTCTGTGCAGTCGGAGTCAGTTCAGGTTTCGCGCAAATGTGGCCCGTGGATGATGGAGGGAGTCTCAACTGGCTGTCCACAGAGACTTTGCGTGGCCATTGTCAGCTCGGGCTACATCTGGCCCATAGAGTTCAAAGCATCTTCCTTTCAATTCGACGATCCGGTGCGCCACTTCTTTACCTCAAATCACAGCCCCTGAGCTATCCTGAAGCCCTACGATGTGTTGTTGGCATCACAACTCTCAAATCCAAACTCTGGGCCGCACGACCGCATTATCAGCAGAGAGTAACATAATCGATGTCTTTCAGCAGGCGACCTGCTACGAATCGTGGTCGAGTCACAAACCTTCCTGACGAGTACGATGAAGCCGATCGTTCAACGCTGCTAGCGTACAAGACCGAAATCACAGATGATAATGCCGGCACCGAAGCTGAACTTCCGGACGCTGGGAGAGCGCCCTTGCGTTCCGCTAGCTCGACTATCATCGACTTAAAACAGCCTCTCATCCAGGCTGAGAGAGCTGCTGCTGACCACGCCAGGCCGTGGTTTGGTATAATGGCGTCTGTCAAGGCTTTCTTTTGAAAGATCAACGACAACCTAGTCAATAACAGCTCGAATAACGCTCGTCTTGACTCTGCTAGCATGACGCCATGCGTGCAGCGGACCGTCACACGCTCTCATCAGGATCCGCGGTCTACACACGACGACGCAACAGTGACCGTGGCTGGCATTTTGGACGAATCCATATTTGTTACTCCACGCCCACACCACGACGCGACGTCTTCGTCGGATCATCTGGAGGAGCATCGTTCTATAAAATCCTTAAACTCAAACGAATTTTAGTTATTTAATATAATCAAATTGTAAATCGGGATGATAGAATTAAAAGGGTCCAGTTATTAATCTAAATAATTAACAACATAAATACCAAATAATTGAAATTCAATATTTTAAGAATTAAAAATATTCAATCCCAATGAGCTTCTTAAATACAAGCTAAACTTCTTATCAACTAGTACTCCATAGAGAAGTTTCGATTATTTTTTTATATAATTTATTAGATAAGAGCTTACCTCATGAAGGGTAATCTAGATATCTAATGTAGTCCGACTCCTACCTAAACTTCGTCTAATCTCAGCGTCCTCATTCTGTTTTCTAACATTGTCCCAGCCGGGCAGCTTGACGGCATGGTCTAGTGCGACCGGCAAGCCCCTATGCCTACCACGAATCATCATAATAATCATTACCAGCTTTGAACCTGTGTACCAGCCGCCCACGAAGCTGAATGAGTAATTTGGCAGTCCCATAGACAGTCCGATATTGGTATATCCCGACACGATTTCGAACAGGAAGTTGAATACGCTATAGGATCCTGGGTCCGCAATTGAATGAGACGTCTCGATAAGTGTGATTAAGAATAGAGAAAACGCAATGGCCCAGATATCGTGTGACAGCTGTCCTCGAAGGTGCTGCGACACGAGGCTTACGTGGCCCTCGAAAGCCGAGGTAGATCCTGACGCCTCGTTTGGGTCGTTGAAGTTAATAGCAGCAGACCGCTTCAGCCGGGGCCTCGCCGTTACGCCTACACCTTGGAAGTTATTCATCCTACTTTGGATCTGCTTGCCCACGAAGGAGGTGCCACGCCTGCCGATGGCGGCTATTTTCTTAATCGGCTTCGTAGAAATGCCCGACTTTTCTTGTGACGCGCCTGGTGCTGAGACTGCTGATCTTTCTAGGCCAAGGGTATGGCCAGACGTCGGTCGAGATAGGAGGGGCCCAAAGGTTGGCAGGAGCTCCTCTGCCGACTCGTCTGGAGTTGAGTTCAACTCCTCGGACTTTTCAGATTGTGTGGTGTAAATTCCCAGTGACCGTTCTTCGTACACCTTGAATTGAGTTAGTTTTGAGCGCAAGTCTCGACTAGACTCAAGAAGTAATGCCACTAACATTTGAGTTTCGCATGACGATGATCTCCGGGTACGCGGAAATATACATTACGATGACCCATAGGACAAGAACGTCGAAATAGAGGCTTGACACAGAAACAACTGCGAAGCCTGAGGAAGGAATGCCTATAGGCAAAACAGTCAGCCAATCTCTAGAATAGAATGGCATCGCCCTCATGACTTACTTAGTGCCTGAAATAGGGCCAGCCCGACTCGCTTTCCAAATGGGTATGCCTCGATAGCAGAGTTGTCAATGCTGAGAACCAATAGAAGGACCCAGTCCATAACAGCCATGGTGCTGAACATTGTGACAAACACCAGATTGGCCTTGGAAGGAAACATCATCATGTACAAACGACGAGGGTACTTCAGGATGAAGTCAAAAGCTTCCTTCCACACGGTGTATTCATCGCTGTCAACAGAGACTTTCAAGACCAGACTGCAGAAGTAAACAGTGGCTCTGAGGAACGCAGGAAACGCAGCGTTTCCGGCTAGAGAGAGGATGGTTACAATAGTTAAGACGAAGGCATCATTGTCAAAGGCTGTCACGCCTGCGTCGAGGAGCGTCATTCCAGCATTATTGAATGAAGAGATGGCTAAAAAAATGCCAGCCCACCAGGAATTTTGAGCGTTTACGGCTGTTATACTTTGGCTGTGCACGTACGACCAGGCGCCGAGCGTGATGGCCCCAAGGATCTGCCAGAGTATAAAGTAGATGCAGACAATGGTAAACAGAATCTTGAGGGCGCGATATTCGACTCCACCCAGGTATTCGCGCTGTTCTTCTGTGAGGTCGAAAAACTGGCCGTTCCTGCCGACGGACTCCTTGTTCTCGTGGATGAAAGTCTTGAAATCGAAGCTTTCTGAAACGGACTGGCGACTGTCGTCACGACTGAAAGGCCTCCTCCTCGTAGCGGTATTCGACTTGGGCGAGAGCGGCTCGGTGGAACTAGTGGAGAAGCCAAGCCTTTGGCCTTCTTCGATACGTTCCAGCATGCCGGATGGTCCAGACTCTTGCTGGTTTGTCTGGCTATGGCTCCGGCCGTGGCCCTGGGATGTCGATCCTGTCAACTGGAAGGCATCAGCCTCAGCCTGCCGCTCGTGTCTACTCTTCTTTTGCTTCCGCTTGGACCCCTTGAAGGATGACATCACAGGAAGGCCAATCATGGCTCCAGCCATGCCGACTATGGCGCCAGTCTTCTTTATCCTCCTGTTTCGTTCGGCCTCGACAATGTCCTCGAAACGCTTTTCAAAAACGCGAGCACGGAGCCAAATGGTGAAAATGGAGACGAATACAGGACTGCCAAGAACCATCATTAAGGCAATGATAGCCTGCTGGGCGGTAGTGAGTTTGCTGATGTCCATTGTGTTGAGTCCGGATGTGGTAAAGGCAGAGATGACGAGGAAAAGGCTGTCAATAAAGCTAATGCTATCAGCCGAGTGCGAAAGCCCGTGAAAGATGCCGGCAAAGATAAGCCCAGTGAATATGAAGTAGGCGTAGTGGGCTGTGATAAAGTTGACCGGAGGCAGGTATGGACGGACGGCAGCGCATGCTTCAGACATGTGGTCCGCCGTGACTGGATGGTCGACCTTGAACTTCTCCCAAAGTTGCCATGCCATCGTTGTCGATACTCGCTCCGAGGGCAGTAATGGTTTGCGTAAGTGACGCGAGCGGACAAAGACACGAGCAAGCTCACGACTGACTTCGTCGTGAGAGGTTGTCGTTACTTGATAGGAGAAAAAGGAAGGATTGACCTTGCAGGTGAGAAGTTTGGCCGGCAACCAAAGAGGAAGCGTTGCACTTCCCCCTGATCGACTCATGCGCAATGATGCCTGCTCTGGAATCATATCCGGTTGGCAGTCTGCAGGGGCGGCTTATCCCGGGCCCACCCGTTTTAAGAACAGCTCATTACCCGTGAACAGGGCTCAACGCACCACCTATTGGGCATTGGACAAGCTCACCGTTTCGCACTAATTATACCAACCATCCTGGTTAATTGTGTCTCTTCTTCAAGAGCTGTCAACAGCATCTTTTTTTTCTATCCTCTACAGTGAGCCAGTCCCTCGTGTAGAAATTCGTATCCTTCCTCTATACGACTGGGCATTGCCTGTGCCGTGTGTTCAGGTTCAATAGATTGATACTAACCTCCTTCAGAAGTGAAGACATTGCGACCGATTCAAAGGAAAATACCAGGATATTGTGATCTAGCCAAATTACATGCATTCGCTTGTCATTCATCCGGGTCAAAACCCGTTGAAATTTCCCTCTTCATCCGATAGAAGCCAGGGTTATGTTGCTGTAGCCATTCGAAATGAAACTTGAGACCACCTCCAAGCCGTCTTTAAGCCGTTGAGATGGCATGCCAAGACCAATGCGGATCCATCCTGCATATTCCTTCCCAAAGCAGGTTCCTGGAACCAAGAGGACCCCTTCCTTCTCATGAAGTACTTTGCACAAGGACAAATCGTCCACAAGTCTGTCACCTCGCGTGAACTTCATGAATCCCAAGGCCGCTCCTACCGGTGCCACCCAACTGCACACATCCGAATGATGATCAATAAAGGCCTGCACGATGAGTTTGTTCCGCTTTGCTTGCGAAATATTCTGCTGAACGATAGAAGCAGAGCGTTTTGAGTCCAGCGCAAAATCTGCGACATGTTCGTCTAATTGACTTGTGGCGATGAGGCAATAAGCACGAGCGTTAACACAAAGGTCAATGATGTCTTGGCTTGCCGACGCAAGCCAGCCGATGCGAATTCCCGCAAGAGAATAGCTTTTTGACAATGCACTGGTTGCTATGGATTTTTCATAGCCTAGGGAGATGATAGAAGGCGGTGTTAGACTTTCGCTAGAAGAAGATGGGTAAAAAATTGGCCGGTAAATCTCGTCGCTGAAGACAATGATAGAGTGTTTTCGGGCTATGTCGATGATTTTAAGCAGCGCCGCCTCAGATAGAACTGTGCCCAGAGGATTGAGAGGATTGCTTTGATGCAATACCAAGTATTAGCTCGGCTCTGTGCCTCTCTTAGATTGAGGGGAACTCACTTGATGACTATCATTTTGGTATTTAATTTGATAAGTCCTTCCAGCTCATCAAAGTCGAAGTTCCACTCGTTTTGGGGGTCGGCCTTCCAGAAGCTTACTTCTGCGCCCAACGACCCAGGAACAGCCTGAAGCTGAGGATAGCCAGGAGAAGGTACGATGACATGATCTCCAGGTCCAATCAAAGCATAGAAGACAATGAAATTGGCAAGTGACCCGCTGGCAGTGGTCAACACTTTTTCAAAGGACAAGTCCTCCGAATAGAGGTTTGCAATTTTGGATCGCAAGGAGGCGAGACCGGAGAAATCTGCGGGATAATCAAGAGGTTGAGATCGAAAAGAGGAGAGGAAGTCGTCGCAGTTCTCTTGGCCGGGAACAGCTTCAAGATCTGAGATAGATGCCGGATGCGCTGAGGTATGAGCAAGGTTGTGGCGGGTTGACGTTGATCGCTCCGCGAGCCACTAAGATAAACGATGAGTGCCGTTGCTTTCGATTGGAAACACAAAGACACTTACATGATCCACTGCGAAAAGTTCGAGCTTGACCATGATTCTACGATTCGATACCAGGAATGGGCGCAAAGAGAGGAGCAGGAA